TATATATATTTATATAAATGAAAAGCTATCAACTAGCAGCAACGGTTCTAGAGATATCTTAGCACCAAGACCAAGGGCAGGGGGGTAACAGGAGAAAGGAAAGGTTCAGTGTTGCTGATACCACCGTCATGTTTCCAACCAACACAGCTTGGCACAAAGCTTGTCCCTCCGCGGAGTGAGAACGTGTCGGCACAACAGGTTCTCACCCCAGCGACGGTCTGCTCAGGTTGGTGCCGTCCATGCCACATCAGCGGGGCAAGGCACTAGCATCTGTGGAGTTTTTGCACCTTGTTTGTTTGTGTATTTTTTTTGTTTGGTTTTCTTTTTTTTTTCTTTCTTTTTTTTTTTTTTTTTTTTTTTTTTTTTTTTTTTGCTTTAGTAACCTGAAGTGATATTGTGTGAATGCCTGGAGCTCCTTTACTTTAAGAGAATAAACCAAAGAAGAATCCCAAGCCCACAGAACAATCTCTTTGTGATGGAAGGTGCAAGTCCCCCATTCACATTTCAGCTGCACTCCGCACGCCTTCAAGCAAGGAAGAAATATTTTGCAGGAAGAAGGAGAGCATCCCTTCCTCCTGCTGTCACCAGTCTGCTGTGCCGTGGAACATGTTACCTTGGTCACAAGAGAATATGTGAACCTTTGTACGACATCATTACATGAGTATAATCTAAGATAATCTTGCATTGATAGCTCCTGCCACTGAACCGCAGCAGGTTTTTCTTTCAGTCATTCCAAACAAAACAAAACGAAACAAAACAAAAGAACCCACGACAATCTAGGATTATAAAGACACAGTATAAATAATGTAAATTAGAATATAATTTTTTAAGCCTTTGAATCTCCGCCCAGAGACGGTTCTTGACTCATTGGCTGTCTAGCTTCCACAGCAGCCCTGCTTTTGAATGAATAGTTGTATATATATATATATTTTTATCTCCTACAATATAAAAATATAAATGCAAAAATTTCCCCCTGCCTTCTCTATTTTGCTATTTTATAGTCTGCACATGACATCGTGCTATAATAGACGCGTGATAGACTGGTAAAAGGAGCCGAAAGCCAAGTATCACTCTACAGCCCAAAACCAGGGAGAACTGAGGAAGAGGCATCACAGTTTCGTGGAGGCAGATGTTTCTAAACCAGAAGAAAAACCCAGGATCACGGCCCCGGCCTTTCCCCTCCTGTGAGGAATCTCCGCGAGCGAAGGGAGCTCCCGCTTGAGCAGAGAGACCTGGCTGGAGCCGGGGCGACAGAAAAGCATGGGACGCTCTGTCGGAAATCGGGAACCTGACGGTCGTCAACAAAATGGCTCAATAACTGGAAAAACAATGGAAAGAGAGGCAGAGACTGAAACCGAGGCAGGGAAAAACAAAACAGCCAACCAACCCCGAAACAAAACAACACAGAGAACGACCTAACGGACCGACAACACACGTACGGGAGAAACTGCCGGGAGGATGAGGCTGACAAAGACCTGTCGTGTAGCTTAGAGATCATCAGGTTTGAACATGTAGAGTATGGCCCCAGCACATGCTTCTAAAGAATGAAATGTTTCTACCTACACTGCAGCTGCCATGGTGGGAGACACCAGGAAATGTCTACACATTGTCCCAATCTTTAAAATTCTGCTTAGCTTCTATCAGACGCACATCGTCTTAACTTTTTAAATTTTCAGTGTGGGTTTCTCCTTAATATATATAATATATATATATATATTTTATATAATATATCAAAGTTTAGAGTATAGACTAAAAAAAATTATTCAACAGCTTTCTGTTCTGAGGCATTCCTTCCTAAATATCGGGGTAGAACTCGGAGCCGTGGTCCATGCCCTGCAACATCGGCTTTCGATGCAGCGGAGA